TATTGGCACCACGGCCTCACACTGACTGATAAAAGATCCTTCCAAAGTAAAGCTAGTCCACCACTCCTCCCCTCACAGCTCACCGCAACACCATTTCGAAACCCCAAACTCCATTTAACTTTATCCATGGCTCTCGCCGACTTCTTTGTCTCACTCAGAAACACCACCGCTGGGTTGTCTTCTGCCTGGCCAGCTGTAACTACCTTCACCAACATATAAATTATTGTTCGGCCACATCTGCACAGAGCTATCGCCACAAAAAAGTATCATAGCATCTCCGTCTCACACCAGGAGGCACACAAACTTGTAAAATTTTATATTTTGTACTTAACTCGGGTCGCCACATGTGGCTTATACACCAGCATGGCACTCATTGTATCCCTTTGATCTTTGGTTTGAATAAGTAAAGTGTGGGATCGCTAAAAAACAACAAACATCCAATTCTCAGGGCCTGGGTCAGGCTAGCAACCATGCCTGGTGCTCCAGTCAGGTTAGTCCACATGGCAGATGCTTCACGCCAGGCTAGCATTCCATTACTCACTTGCTCGGAGGAGATCTCACCAAGGAGGTCCTGGCGGCTGTTAATACATGCATTATACTAGAGGGGTGGAACTTTACCACCATTGTCTTAATTACGAAAGTGGATAACCCAGAAAAAGTTACCCAATTTAGACCCATAAGTCTGTGTAATGTGGTCTACAAGGTGATCTCAAAGATGCTCGCCGCGCACTTAAAGGTTCTCCTCCCAAATATTATTAGTGAGACTCAAAGTGCATTTGTGCTGGGCCGCATCATCAATGGCAATGTCATAGTGGCGTATGAGTGTCTACATACGATGAAGAAGCGGAAAAAGGGTAATGTTGACACTTGTGCAATCAAACTTGATATGCACAAGGCATATGACAAAATTGAATGGATTTTCCTTGAGGCCATGCTCACCAATTTGGGGTTTCATGCCCAATGGATTCATATGGTAATGTCATGCGTGAGAATGGTCGAGTACAAGGTTCATTTTAACTCCAATGAAACACTTCCTTTTCTGCCAATGAGAGGCTTGAGACAGGGGGGATCCTCTCTCCTCATATCTGTTTCTTTTGTGTGTTGAAAGACTGCCAGCGTTAATTGCTCATGACGAAGAGGCGGGAAACCTAACTAGAGTGCAGGTATGCAGAGAGTCACCAACTATATCCCACTTTCTTTTTGCTGACGACTCCCTTAGTCTCATGAGAGCGGATAACCAGAATGCTACCACGCTGAGAACCATCCTGGATGAGTATTGTGCAGCATCCGATCAACTCGTCAGTGAATCTAAATGTTCTATTTTTTCCAGTCCTAATACAAATGTGGAAGTGAAAGCCGATGTATGCCAAATTCTGAATATCATGACTGAGTCCATCTCAGTCAGATACTTGGGTCTACCATCCATGATAGGGGTGGACCGTGTGGACTGTTTTAAACACATAATAGAAAGGATTCAAGCTATGGTGAACGGTTGGAAGGAGAGAACTCTATCCTTTGGAGGAAAAGAGGCTTTGCTGAAAGCGGTGGCCCAAGCCATCCCAACCTATGTGATGGGTGTATTTAAATTTCCAAAGAAAATTTGTAAGGGAATCACTGATGCAATGTCGCAATTCTGGTGGGGTGATGAGGAGGACCAGTGTAAGATGCATTGGTTTGCATGGTGGAAGATGTGTATCCCAAAGGAGAGAGGATGGATGGGATTTCGGGACATTCATAGTTTCAACCTGGCGATGCTGGCGAAACAGTGTTGGAGATTAATTGATAACTATGGCTCCTTATGTGCGCGAGTATTACGAGCCAAGTATTACCCCACAGGAGATATACTGAACTGTCAACTAAAGAAGGGATCGTCCTATGTGTGGCAAAGTATCTGGTCAGGAATTCAAACTTTCAAGCATGGTTGTATTTGGAGAGTGGGTAACGGAAACAAGATTGATATATGGGATGATTGCTGGATCCCAAACAATACATCAAAGAAAATCCTTACAGTCCGTGGAAATCAAGTCCTCACAAAGGTTAATGAGCTCATAGACCCAATCATGGGAGAGTGGGATGAGCTACTAATTCGGGACAACTCCTGGCACATCGACGCAGAACGGATATTACAAATCCCATTATTTCATGTGGAGACTGAAGACTATGTGGCATGGCACCTAACAAAAAGTGGAGTTTTCTCAGTACGCTCTGCTTACTATAAACAGTGGGAGATGTGCTATGTAACACAGGACAACGGCTTGGTCCGATCATCTATGGCGCCGCACCCTGTTTGGAAAAATTTGTGGAATTTGAAGGTGCCCGCAAAAGTAAAAATTCACATCTGGAGATGCCTACACAACACAATACCATGCCGGAGTGTGCTAATGAACCATCACCTGGGGAACTTATCATGTTGTCCATTTTGTACAGAAGGAGCAGAGGACCTAGCGCATATGTTGTTTAGATGTGCTAGATCACAAGAAGCGTGGAGAACCCTGGGAGTCACGGATGATATAAACTTCGCTTGTCACACGGACCGAGCGGGCTTGGCAGCTTTAGAGTTCATTCTCTATGATATTTCCTGCCGGAGACAATATAATGGAGTGCTTGAGTTACCGGAGCTGATAACCACAGCGTGTTGGTATATATGGTGGTAACGGAGACAGTTTGTGCGAGGTGATGATATTGCATCTCCAGAGCGAACGGCCCCGGCGGTGGTAGCTCTAGCACTTAACTATGCCCACGGAGTACAAACAAGAATGACACCAAAAGGGAATACATGGCCGGCGTTTTTGGTTGGTCAGACAGTCCTTAATGTCGATGCGTCGTTCATTGAAGGAGATTATGCAGGATCTTGTGGAGCGGTTATCCGTGATCACCGTGGAACTTTCATGTCTACAGCCACAGCAACACTAGAACATGTAGTTGATGTCGATACAGCAGAAGTTGCGGCTATGCTTGAAGGACTGAAGCTAGCAAGGAAAACATGATGCTATAATGTGGTAGTAAGATCAGACAATATCACGGTGGTGGAGGCACTTAAATTCAATGGAGGCTACTCTATGGTGGCAGCACCGTTGTTTGATGAATGTTGCAGTTACCTCAAAGACTTCGGGAGGTTTACTATTGAGCAATGTATTAGAGAGTCAAATAATGTAGCTCATGAGCTAGCAAGATGGGGTCGGGCTAATAATCCATCTTGCTGGATTGATGTCCCGCCTGATTTTATCGTAAACCTATTGGCAGACGATGTTTCTATCCTTCGATTAATAAAGTAAACTTTCCCGTCAAAAAAAGCATTCCATTACTCATGACATCATCCAAACAATGTCCATCAGGCAAGCTCCAGGCCAGTCATAAAGAGATGAGGAAGCGAACCAAACTGACTCTTAATTTGAACTTTTGATTTGAAATATACAATTGATTCTAAAAGTATATATTCAAACTTGGAGATAATATAAAAAAACATGAAAGATGGGGTCGGTGAGGCATACCACCATCAAAAGTTGACATGCATGAATGATGGGGTCGGTGAGGCATACCACAACATGCATTCATGCACATGAAAATGTCCACCTCAACATGCAAACATATATTAGATATTTATAGTACATTAATCAAACACAATAAAGCATATGGATTTGCAATTTTAGTTTTCGTAGTATCACTATTCACGTTCCATAGAAATCACATATCATCGAAATGTATTGCAAATATTCCGGCAACAACGTGCGGGGTATCATCTAGTGGCATAAACTAGTGCACCAAATGCAAGGTATGACATTGGCGTTGCAACATACTGAAGCTCCTGTTATTGTCCAATTGGACTCCTCGGAAGCATTGCTATCTTTGTCCGGGGAAGGCCTCTCAAGATCGACATATGGTCATTTGGTGGCAGAGATAAAGTTTCTTATGCAAGGGAGAGAGTTTATTCCCATGAAAATGAAGCGTGACCAAAATAGGGTGGAAGATCGGTTGACGTCGTATAGTTGAGTAGAAGGTAGAACTGTTGTATGGCTACGTAGCGCACCACCATGTATAGAGGATCTTTTGCCTCTCGACTGCACCTCTATTATGATGGAATAAAACTTTTTTTCAGATCGCAAAAAAATAGTGTACCAATCTTGAAACAAGGGTCGTGTGGCCGCATGTATATGTGGCCCGTGTGTCCTGCAGATTTTCTTGCGTTTATAGTTTATCCGACCCATTTGCGAAGGAATGAATTGCAAAAAAACCAGCACATTTGAAGTTCTCATCCAGAACTGTCACCACATTTCTTGAGCGCCCAAAAATCTATGTGTTTTTTTGTTAATTTTCTCGATAAACACAAATGACTGATTTGGGCCAAATTAATCCGATTTCTGACAGCTAGGGCCTGCATGTAACCGCTGACATGGCACAAAATGGTCAACACCGTTTGTTGTCCGTCAAATTAGACATGGGGCCCACTAATTTGTGGCATTTCCACAAGCACCTTCTGTGCAGGTACAGTGCACCATCAGAGCAGCACACCATGGCACCAGTAGCACGGCGACGAGGACCTGCTCCTGTACCCGACGCTCCAGCGGGCTTGACCACCACCTGCACCGTCCTATTGATGCTCGTTCGGCACCACCACATCTGAGGGTGAAGGCGTAGTTCCTGGTGACTATGAATGAGGAGGACGGCAGCGACGAGCTAACCGCCATGATCCCCAATGACTACCCGGACCACCGTTAGCGCCACCCCCTCTTCCTCCGCGCCGCACTGGGAGTCGGCCATCTACGTGGCATCGGAGCTGCCGTCGTGCGCTTGGGTCGTTCCAGTGGCTGGACGTGCCGGCGTCCGCGTATCTCTCGTCGCCCTGGATCCCGATGGTGGCGGCGGGAGTCGCGTCCATGGACAGCGATGAGCATGACACGGGCGGCAGCGTGGAGCAGGCGCTCGGGTGGCAGTCGTGGCGCGACTGCGGAGCAGCTCGGGCCGAGCTGCTCAAAGGGGCGGTGACGCCGTCTTGACAGCCCATGAAGCAGCGCAGGTGGTGGGTGGCCTTGGGCCCATGCTGGAGCATGTCTCCGGCGAGAAGCAGCAGCAGAGTATGCCCTGACGGCAGCGGCAACCCATGGCGGTGGGTGCATGCGGGCAGAAGGGGTGCGGCATGGGAGGTGGATAAGACCTGCCAGGTGGGTCCTCTTCAAGTTAACAGTCAATGCCGTTTATATTTACCATATAGTGCCACATGGGCCCGACCAGCGGACCCGATATGTCATAAATCAGATTAATTTGGCCCAGATCAGTCATCAACGTTTATTGCGAAAATTAACAAGAAAAGAGGTAGTAGATTTTTGGGGCGCTCAAGAAATGTGATGACAATTCCGGACGAGAATTTCAAATGTGATGATTTTTTACGGTTCACTCATTTGCGAAGAAGCAACGAGAAAAAGCATGTCTGACGTGGTGGATACGTCAGCGAGCGCCTGTTTCGCCCTACTATATTTTTGAGCCGTTTCTTGGCGCAAGCCATCGGAACGCTCGACACGGCATGCGCTGCTCCTGCGCCAACAATGGCACTGCATGGATCTGGACCAGTGGGAACGCATTTAAGCGCGCGCATCCGCACGAGTTTAATTGCCAGATTTGTCCACGGCGGCGCGTGGTGCTGCTGGGACGCAGACAGAGAGACAGCCCCTCGGCCGTCGTCTACCCCGTCGTCGTGTACTGACTTTCTTTTTGCTCTCTCTGTTTCAAAATAAATGACCCAATTTTATACTAATTTTGTACTAAATTTAGTATAAAGTTAAATCATCTACTCCCGTCATTTCATAATATAGTGATTCCTCTATCCCATGCTTTAATTTTGACCATAAATTTAACTATTAAGATCAATTGCGGCGGGAGCAAAAATATATCAGTGAATTCGTATTCGAAAGAAGTTTTTAATTATATAGTTTTTTCTTCCGCCGCAGTTGGTCTCATTGATTAAATTTATAGTTAAAGTTGGACCTTAGAAAGCGCGGGCGCACTATATTTTAGAATTGATGGAGTATTTCGGAACGGAGCTACTTTGCGGTCTCGCGCGCGCGGTTCTCCGGCGGACTTCGTTTTCACAACCAACGTAGCTCGCCGCTCCGCTCCACACCACACGTGTATTGTCTTGTCTCGTCTTGGACTAACCGCGCGCAGATGGAGTTGCGGTCGGTCGCCGTCGTCCATTTGTACAGCCACACGCTATACATGACGCTGGTTTTGACTGCTAGTTGCACGCTTGCTTCCTAAGCATCCCACGGTTCGTGTTTATCACAAAACTAGTTTATTTTGACCAAATCTTATATACTTAGTTACTTAGGGCATTTTTAAAGCGGACCCTCAGATCGTCCGCAAGCATGTGTGATTAGTTGTTCGGACATAGTTTGTCATCCAATGACGCTCCGCACCGGTCCGCGGGATCCGAACACTTCCGGCATCGAAAGCAAACATGGGGCTTTGCGGGAGTCCGCACACCAGACACGCGGGACTCCGATACCTCTAGCCCCACCCAAAACCCCGCTTGGATCCCATATCTCCATCCTCCCCTCTTTCTCTACTTCCATTTTTCTCTCGTCGGCGGAGCCAATCAACCACCTTGCCCGCCCGCCAAGCCTTTCTGGGAACTCCGCACATCTGCGACCTCCACCGCTACACCTGGCCTCCACGCCGTTTGTCATCCGCCGTCGGTCCACACCTCTCGTGTTTGCTAGAATGCACGTGCCAATATTTTTGTACCTTCTTTAAAGCAATGAACTCGGACATCGAGTACATCTATGAGCACTACGTTAAGTCGTTCGACGAGGAGGACAACACTGATGAAACGACGATGATGCAGGCGTTCCTGTAGGCACTGAGCGTGCGGAAGAGCATGTTATCAATTTCAAGGGATCGATCAAGAGTCATCGAATGCTCAACCAGAACAGGGCATTGGGGCCATTTGACGCTGATGGAGAACTACTTTGCCCCAATGCCCTATTCGCCGACAATTCCGAAGCTTTCGGATGTGAAAAAAAGTCTTCGATGGCTTCTACCACGACGTCGAGTACTTTGATGACTACTTTATTTTGAAAAAGAATGTCATAGGAAACATTGAATTCAAGTTTGATGTATTCTCTACTGTCCGAATTAATTGAGCAACCTTTATACAATATAAATTACTTAGAGCATCTCTAGCAGACCCCTTAAAATACACGAAACTGTAATAGGCGGAAAAACGACCTGAATAGAACCCATAAACAACTCCGACCTGTAAAAATTTTTAAGGGCGCGGAAAGCATCCCCATCGAAACTGTAAAAATAAGAATTTCGGAGCCAACCCGAGGATGCCATGTATATGTGAAAGACCATTGGCGGGAGTCCAACTGCCATCGAAACATTCAGGGCTCGCTCCCGTCCGCCTGTCCCGATAGCTGCGCCTGCCCACGGGCCACGGCTCTCCCGGCGGAGGAACTAGCTAGCTTGCTAGCTCTAGCTGAATCGATGTGCGTCTCTCTCGATGAAGGACAGAGGAGTCCGACCGCCGCCCCGGCTGCCCTGGCCTCCCGCCCGCGCCCCGCATCTTCCTCGTCCGTCGGCAGCCGCCTTGGCCAACAGTATGTGCCGATTTCAAATTGGCATGAGGAAGAGGACGGACAGGAAAAAAGGTGGGCTAGCTGTGGGCATGTTCGGTATATTTAGAGAATATTCCTTTTAACGGGTTGATTATACGGGATCTGTTCAGCCGCAGGTAAAATCGGCCTTTAAAACACATTTTTCTCAGCCCTTATGACGACTTTAAGGGTCCGCAATATAAGGTGTCTGCTAGAGACGCTCTTACATTGTATAGAGGTTATGTCAATTAATTAGGATCAGAGATAATACTTTAATTTTTTGCTGGATTGTAATATTTAAATTAGGACTACTGTCACATTTGAACATTTTAAATCATCTATGATTTCATCTGTGGTTATTTTAAGCTTGTGGACTTCAAAGAAACAAAGATGCCAAAGTTTAGAGGACTGGTTGGATAGCCGACTCCCACATCACTGTCCGCGGACTGGTCCGCACAGGTCCACAGACGGATGCGGTGTCCGATTTAAGGATCACGTTGGAGATGCCCTTACAAGGCAAGACGAGATATGATATGTGAGGGCACTGTGTTACCCCTCCTCCCCAACTAGCTTTGTTTTGGTGTAGGAGGGTTCTCCTCCAGACCCCCGCAAAAGAAAAGGGTTTCTCCTCCAGAACATTGTTCCAGCATGACCGTCACCTTACAGACTTTCCTTCTACGATCAACAGCGACAAGCCGACTCCGGCGATAGAGGCACACGCGGAGGGATGCTATCGGCCCATTCGGGAGGATGAAGAGGGTCAACCTTAGAGACTTTGATGTAACCTTTTTATTTTCCATGTGTGTTTGTACTACTGGTTTGATTAATATTAGTTACTTATTACATACACCGCGAAAGAACATCATCGTACGCTGGGTTGGAAGAATGACGACGTGGGCGACCGACCTGTGACCGCCATGGAGCGAGTGGTTTAGCGGTTACTGTCAAGACGCAAGCACGAGAAGATTTTACAGAGAGCACAGCAGTAGTCAGTGCTAGACTTGTACTGTAGTAGCTAGGACTAGGAGAGCTACCCCTACTCACAACAGAATGAATCAACGTGGTCTGTAATCGTGCCATACTTGCATAGTTTACTTTTACATCCACTTGCGTAGTTTGTTTTGTTCACTGCATGACTAAAAAATGGATGTGTTGGTCTAGCAAGAACTCACAACAGAAGTCTGCTACTGCAGTGTAGTAAGATAATAGTGTTGGTAGTACTAAAGTTGGAAAACAGATTGATCAGGTGGATGCTGCTGCTAGTAATGTGGGTCCTAAATTCATTGGTGCCATCTGCTTCAATTGTGGCCAACCTAGCCACTTTGTTGGCATGTGCCAACTTCCTAAAGTCTGCCTCATTTGCAAAACCCCTGGCCACCATATGGATGTTTGCCAAACATGGTATAAGCCAATGCCCACTGCTCAGTACTGGGGTAGTGCTAACAGTGGACCAGGCTTCTTCCATATTGAGGTAGAAGAAGACAAGAATGAAAGTGACTGGTAGAACTTCGGCAAGGCAGGCACTTTTTTTCTTTGAAATGAAGGCAAAATATTTGCCTCATCTATTAATTAAGAAGAGAATAAAGTTTGTTACGATCGACCCGAAACAACGACATGGATTATTACTCTCGTGACATGGAAGAAAGGAGATTGGGGAAGAGGTTAGAGGAGGTAGAAGAAGAAGCACATACACAACTTGCATCTCTCCAGCCTCCTCTCGTGCAAGGGGCCCACCCACGTGCGCTTGTTGTGGCTCAACTTGGTCTCGCTCGTTAGAAACTGCCGATATAAGCGTTCCTAGCGAGACATGCCCAGAGGTGCTTTAAAATTCGTGCGATGCGGGCCCCATAGTGTATGCGGGCAACCAAATAGGCCGGATTCTTCCCACGCGGGCCTGGTTGGATGGCCGGCTCCCACATCACTATTCGCAGACTGGTTTGCATTGGTCAGCTGACGGATCCAATGCCCAATTTGAGGGTCACGGTGGAGATACCCTTACAACCCAAGCCTATCCTCTCCAAACCCTATGAGAGATGAGAGATGATATGTGAGGGCACTGTGTTACCCTCTTCTCCCCAGCTAGCTTTGTTTTGGTGTAGGAGGTTTCTACTCCAGAACGTTGGTCGAGCATGACCGCGACCTTAGTGACTTTCCTTCTACGATCAACAGCGACAAGGTGGCTCTGGCGATAGAGGCACACGCGGCGGGATGCTATCGGCCCATTCGATCGGGAGGATGAAGACAGTCAACCTTAGAGACTTTCATATAACTTTTAAATTTTTCATGTGTGTTTGTACTACTGGTTTGACTAATTAATAAATCTTGCCGTGCGGGGTTTTTTTTCAACAAAAAGTAAGAACATTAGTTACTTACATACACCGCGAAAGAACATCATCCTACGATGGGCTGGAAGCGAACGAGGGCGTGGGCGACCGACCTGTGGCCGCCATGGAGTGAGTGGTTTAGCGGTTACTGTCAAGACGCAAGCAAGAGACGACGATTTTACAGAGAGCACAGCAGCAGTCAGTGCTAGTCATCAGGTCGAGGAGAGCTACCGCTACTCATGGGATCGACCAGATGCAGATGGTGCCCCGATCGAGCATTCATTGTGTTCACAAGTAACTATACTACTACTATAGATTATGTAGTAGAACTGAGGCCGGGCGGGGCGGGGGTCCTGATTTGGACGGCGACATCTTCCTCCCTTCAGACGCCAACACCGTGCTCACCTCTCCATCGTTATCCGCCGCTTCAATGCTCGCTCGATCGAATCCAGCCGCCGTTGCTGATCGTGCTCTCGTTATCCGCCGCTTCAATGCTCGATTGATGGTGCCCCGACCCAAGGCTAGCTACGCGAGATCGATCGATATCCGCGGTTGATTTGTGGTGGACGAATCGATTGGTCGATCTCACTCGCTGTACCTTGTTTATCACGCGCTGAGGTTTGGCATTCACGAATTAGGGCGTCAGCCTGCAACAGCTCGCTCGCATCCACGCATCAACGCATGCGTGGACGAAATGGTCTCACGAGCTTACCTTTGTTTATCATGCATGCGTTAGTACCCTAAGCAATACTTACTACTACTGTACTGCTCTGTGGTTAAGAGTCAACATGCAACAGCAGGCATTGTTGACGGAAGTGGAGTGTTACTGCCCCTGACACGGCGGCTCCACCAACTGTAACCACGACGGCTCCTGTTGGGCTGGAACGACCCGCCAACAGCCCAAGCCCAACAGTCGCTTCCCGGCCATGTGTGGGATACCACGCGCAGGGTTAAAGGGAGGCCGAGCCCTCCTGCGTGAGGTGGCGATTGACATGTTGTATCTGGCGGCGGTTACCTTCCCGATCTTCTTCTCTTCCTCTCAAGAACCCTAGCTAGCGATCGAATCTGTACCCGAACTTGTATCTGTGAGGAATATACTAAGCGGGAGCGTAACAATTGGTATCAGAGCCACTCCGATCAGCCCATAAAAAAAATCTCCACCTTCGAATCTGGCCGGGCGCTTCCCCTCCATCATCCAAACCCGCCGGGGCAAGGCGATCGCCATGGACGACCACACCAAGGCGTTGGCGGACCTCACCACGGCCATCACCGCGCTCACCACCAAGATCGACGCCCTCCAGCCCGTGGTGCTTGAGCTGCAAGGTTGGAAACACGT